GGCGACAGAGTGAGACTCCAACTCAAAAAAAAAAAACTGAAGCTAGGCTTGGTGGCTCAGTCTGTAATCCCGCGCTTTGGGAGGCTGAGGTGAGAGGATTGCCTGAGCCCGCGGGTTCGAGACCCGCCTGGGCAACTTGGTGAGACCTCATCTCTACAATAAATCAAAAAAAATTAGCCAGGTGTAGTAGCGACAGGTAGCGAGCGCCTGTAGCCTGTAGTTCCAGTTACTTGGAAGGCTGAGGCGGAAGGATCGCCAGAGCCCAGCAGGTCGAGGCTGCGGTGGCCGGGAGCGGCCACTGCACTCCAGTCTGGATGACACAGTGAGACTCCAACTCAAAAAAAAATTGATATATAATAGTTGTACTGTGGCCTGTCTTTTCATTCACTTAAGCGCCCTTCAAAGAGCTGTTCTTCATTTTTACCAAGTCCCATTTATCAATTTCTTTGATTTTTATTTTTTTTCGAGTTGGAGTCTCACTCTATCACCCAGACTGGAGTGCAGTGGCACGCTCACAGCCATCGCAGCCTCAACCTGCTGGGCTCAGACAACCCTTTCACCTCAGCCTTCCAAGTAGCTGTACTACAGGTGCACCCTATGACGTCCAGTTTATTTATTTATTTATTTTTTGAGTTGGAGTCTTACTCTGTTGCCCAGGCTAGAGTGCAGTGGCACACTCATGGCCAACCCAGCATCAACCTCCTGGGCTCCAGCGATCCTTCTGCCTCAGCCTTCCAAAGTAGCCAGAACTACAGGCACAAGTTACCTTGCCCGGATTGTTTATTTTTATTTATTTATTTATTGTAGAGACAAGGTCTTGCCAAGTTGCCCAGGCTGGTCTCGAACCCCAGGACTCAGGCAATCCATTTGCTCCGCCCCCCAAAGTGCTGGTATTACACGCTGAGCCACCAAGCCCGGCCTTATTTTTTGATTCATTGTAGAGATAAGGTCTTACCAAGTTGCACAGGCTGGTCTCGAACCCCTGAATTCAGGCAATCCTCTGGTCTTGAACTGAATTATGCTTTTTAAAAACTCTTTGTGGCTGGGTGTGGTGGCTCAGCCTGTAATCCCAGCACTTTGGGAGTCCGAGACAAGAGGACTGCCTGAGGCCAGGGGTTCAAGTTCAGCCAGGGCAACTTGGGGAGACCTCGTCTCTACAATAAATCACAAAAACTAGTCGGGTGTCCGTAGTAACAGTTACTTAGAAGGTTGAGGTGGAAGGATCGCCTAAGCCCAGCAGGTCGAGGCTGCGGTGGCTGTGAGCGTGCCACTGTACTCTAGCCTGGGCAACAAGAGTGAGACTCCAACTCAAAAACAAATAAAAAACTCTTTGCCTAACCCAAATTCACAGAGATTTACTTCTATGTTTTCTTCCAGAAGTGCAATGTTTTTGTTTTTGTTTTAATTGGGGTCTCACTCTGTCGTCCACACTGAGTGCAGTGGTGTGATCATAGCTCACCGCATTCTCAACCTCCTGGGCTCAGGTGATCCTTCCACCTCAGCCTCTAGAGTAGCGGGGACTACAAGCACCCACCACAACTGGCCTTTTTTTTTCTTGTAAAGACAAGCTCTCACTATGTTGCTAGGCTGGTCTTGTACTCCTGGGCTCAAGTGATCCTCCTGCCTCAGCCTCCCAAAGTGCTGAGATTACACGTGTGAACCACCATATCTGGCTTACCAGTGCAATAATTTTAAGTTTTATGATATATGATCCATTTTTGTACTATTTATTTATATGTTGCAATAAAGGGACTAAAGTATTAGTTTGCCAAGGCTACATAACAAAATTCCAAGGACTGGATGACTTAAATAACAGAAATTTATTTTCTCACAATTCTAGAAACCAGAAGTCCAAGATCAATGTCAGAAGGGTGTCAGCCGGCCTCAGTGGCTCAGCCTGTAATCCCACGCTTTGGAAGGCTGGGGTAAGTGAATTGCCTGAGCCTAAGGGTTCGAGATCTGCCTGGGCCTCATCTCTACAATAAATCAAAAAATTATCCGGGCGTGGTAGTGTGCACCTGTAGTTCTAGCTACTTGGAAGGCTGAGGTGGAAGGACCACCGGAGCCCAGCAGGTAGAGGCTGCGGTGGCCAGGAGCGTGCCACTGCACTCCAGTCTGGGTGACAGAGTGAGACTCCAACTCAAAAAAAAAAAAATCAATGTCAGAAGGGTTGACGTATTCTAAGGCATCTCTCTGTCGCTTGTAGATGACCACCTTCTCACTGTGTCTTCACATAGTTGTCCATCACTCCATCTGTGTCCTAATCTCTCATTCTTGTAAGGACACTAGTCATATTAAATTAGGGCCACCCAATGACTTCATTTTACCTTAATTACCCTTTTAAAGGCCCAATTTCCAAATATAGTCACATTCTGAGGTACTAGGAGTTATACTTGCAATTTAAGCATATGAATTTTGAGGGGGACACAATTAGCCGATAACAAATACCATATAATCCCACTTATATGAGGTACTTAGAATAGTCAAATTCATAGAGACAGAAAGTAGAATGATGGTTATCAGGTGCTAGGGAAGAAAAGATGGGGAGTTAATATAATGGGTATGGGATTTCTGTTTGGGATGACAAAA